GGGGCGCCTCCCGAGGGTTAGGAGGGTGGGAGGGGCGCCTCCCGAGGGTTAGGAGGGTGGAGGCAAGCACAGCACTGAGATCAGCACAGGCGGACGTGTCTCCATGCTTTCAGTCAAGCAGCAACCGGCCTGCTAGAGGGCCACAGCTCTGCCTGTCCAGAGTTGTGGCTTACGAGTTCTGGGACTGCGGCAGTGAGGTGAAGCCTGCTGACTTCAGGCTGTCTGTCACACCCGCTAGTCTCAGTCGATGAGGTCGCTCCCAGACGCCAAGGGCAGTTACTTTTCCCTAAACCATCCACTGCTGGGCCAACCTTTACCGGGCCATCCTGCTCTCCAGAACATCTCCAGACGTCTCTGGTCCTGGGGCCTGAGCCTTCAGGCTGACTGGATGGGTCCCCCTCTCAGGGCTGCAGCTCGGGTCTATTTTAAGCAGGTTCCCTCTCAAGACTGCATGCAGCCACAACCCTCTCCACGGCTGACCTGTCTCAGCGTCACATCTGGAGCTGGGTCTCATGAGCTAAGGGTCCGTCAAGGTGGCAGTCCAGTCCCCAGGCTGCCTGGCTTCTGCTTCCTCTCCTGACAGGACCCTGTCTGATTTGGCCATCTTCTGGGTGTCACACTCGTTCCTCCCCAGTTTTCAGCTCTTCCTTCCGTGGAGTTCCACAACCCTTCCTCTCTTGGGAAAAGGCTACTTATTTTACCCAACAGTCCTGACACCGAGAAAGCAGCTAGCCCACCACCTTACCACACAGCCCAGGCTGGCCTCAAAGCATCTATGTAACCGAAGATGACCTTGAACTCTTGATCCTGCTCTCTCTGCCTCCCCAGGACCACAGGTTTACACCACGTCTGGCATTTCGCTGACTGATCTTAAAACCTGGTAGAGAACATCAGTTGCTGAGGTTTCCAGGTGTATCAGATGTTCCTGTGTTAGCAGTGGCCTTTTCCACCCAGGAAAGGCATGGACTCCTTCTGCTCCCAGGGGAGCATGTGGGCTGCGTGCTGGACTACAAGAAACGGTCATCACCAATCTAGTAAAAGCCTTAGGGACAGACGTGCCACTGTTGAGGCCAAGGTGAAGTATGGCTATCTATCCTCAGATGCAAGGGCGGAGCATGTGAGTATATGTGAGTGTGTGTGAGTGTGTGTGTGTGTGGTTTTAAACTTACCTAAGCTCAACAATGTGGAAAAGAACTTGTACTGTCTTTTTTTTTTTTTTTTTGCCCCAAATTATTCAACCATCAGTGTAAGCAAGTGAGCTACACTATATATAACTTCAGTTTTCTATGTGATTTCTCTTTAAAAGTTGTGGAGTATAATTCCAAATTGAATTGATTTGAGGATCCTATAATGAATATCCAGAGTGAGAAAAGGAACCCAGTAATTCTACCCTATGAGACAAGTGATGGTAACTTAGACACATCAATTCATCAACACTAACTTCTGTCCTGTACAAGGTCAATTTTAGTAGTAATGACATGCTTAAAAAACCTTACGATACACAAGCAGCTACAAGTCTAGCATGTAGCCAAGATGTATACACATGAATGAAAAACTAGTGAGAAACAAATCAAAAGGGGCACAGTGGTATACTCCCACAATCCCTGCAGCTAGGAGGCAGAAGCAGGAAGATCAAGAGTTCGAGGTCAGCTGTTTTCAGTATGTACTTTGGTCTCCCTTTTCCCCTCACCGGGCACTTTAAAGACATTCAGGAAGTGATTGGGTGTCTATATCAATGTCACTAATCCACGGAAGTCTCTCTGCTCAGCACCACCCTGCACCCACCCTTTCTTCTTCAAGAACACAGTACATGAAGGTAGCAAGCATGCAGCCTCAAATCAGTGTCTCTGCTCCAATACTCATTTATCGGGTAACACTGGGCAAGGTAAATAACCTACATATACCTCCATTCCCTTACTTGGAAAACAAAGCCCGTGGCTCCTGATTCCTTTCAGAAAACCTTCCTGCTGTGGCTCCCACCCTCATCCACTTCCCCACACATCCACTGCTGCCAGCAAATCTCCCACAGGGCCAGGGCTCCCACTCCTCCCAGACTATGCTTCCTCCTTGAACTTGATTGTTCTTCCCGATCCTTTCAGTCTGAACCTAACGTCTCTTCCACCTTCGCGCTTGTGACCGTGACCTCTAGTGGCCAGGGGCTTAGTTTACTCTACACAGCCAGTTTTCAGAGAAGAGCTGCTTGGCCTCCCTCCAGTTTCTGCGTCCCCTGACAGGCGGAAAGTGGCCATGTGGAAGCACTGCTTAGATCGCCCTTGACCTGGGCACGCAATGCTTGGTTCTTGCTATTTCTGCCTCTGGGGACTCTACGAAGCACTTTCCAAGGACCACTTCCTGCAGCGCCCATATAAGGTAAGCAGAGGCTTAGGGCCAAGCCACACCCCAGAGTCATTAGACTTCCAAAAGCAAAGTCAGAGCTTGAACCCAGACTCTACAAAGAAAAGGTTTTGCAAACAGGCAAGGGTTAGGGCATGTAAGGGGCTTGCTCCAGAACTCACCACCAGACACATCAATGCTCAGCCGCATCTGACTCCACAGTGATGGCTCCAGTGTAACTTCCGAGCCTAGTAAGCTGTGAGCATCACAGAACAGAACCCCTCCCAGTAGGGGAGAACCCTGTCTTGGCCCCACTGTCAGTAGGTTGGTCTTTTAGTTTAGGTGCAGGGGAATGGACGGAGGCAATTCTGTTATCTATTCAATGCTCTCTCCACAGAAATCACTTTATTAACATGGTAATGAAGTAGCTTTGTGTTGGGATTACTAAAATTCACGAAAATGTAAAAATGTTACAATTATGAAACACTGTGGAATGTAACTAAATATAACATTAAAAGTTATTTATAAAATAAAATACTGACCCTTAAAAATATCTCATCACTTATATTTTTATTTTCATAAAAACTTAGTTTATTTGAAGCATTTCTCACTAGTTAGGCAACAGCATACTTTACAGTGAATTAACATCCATCCAGAGAGAGGAGAGTCTTCCTCAGATATGATTTCATTTTCTTAAAAAGCCAAACAAAACACTTGATTTCAGTAAGAAAAATAAAGTACACATAAAGGCAAAAACAACATCAGCAATCTTAGAGGTCAGCCACTGTATCTTTTCTTGAGTTCTTCAATAGAATCCTCCAATTCTGATTTTTCTAAGTGATTGAATAATACGTTTATGACTGAAAAAGAAAAAAAAAAGACTGTGTATCACTCTCATTTTATAAAACTATGCAAAACATAAACTCAAAAGATAATCTGACCTATCAAGTAAAATTGTTACCAATTTTTACTAATAATTACCATTTTTCAAAAATTCTAATTTGTACATTTAAGAATGTTTGTCTTTGCTTTTTGAGACAGTGTTGCTTTATGTAGACCAGGCTGGCCTTGAACCCCAAAGATTCACCTGGCCCCATCTCCCGAGTGCTGGGATTAAAGGCCAGTGCCACCATGCCCAACTAGTTTGTGTATTTAAAAAGTAATCTAAAAAGAAAAAAAGCCATACAGCAATCCGATAGTATTTCTCCAGACAGCACATCTTGCCAACAGCACAGATCCCCGCATCTGTGCGACACTACTCTAAGAGGGCACACTCAGCCCTGGGGAAGCACCGTCACAGTCCAGGCTTCTCTTCTTAGTGTATCAGTGTTTCATCTGCATGTACATATGTCACCATGCCTGCCTGATGTCCGCAGACAGAAGAGGGCATCACAGCCTATGGAGCAGTTACAAATGGTTAACAGTAGCTACACTTGAAAATATTGCCAAGACGGCTGAAAAAATGGCTCAGCAGTTAAGGACAGTGATTGCTCTTCCAAACGGACCCAGGTTTAAATCCCAGCACCCACATGACAGCTCACAATTGTCCAAGATCTGACAATTTCACATAGACATACATGCTGGCAAGACACCAAGGCACATATAAGTTAAAAATGGGAGGGAGGAGAGAGAAAATACTGCCAAGAATTACAACCCACTTTAACTATATAGAATTGAACTGTATAGAATCAATTCTTTAACTTTAGTATCTTGTACATGGTAAATAGCAGGTAGTTAAACTTCAGCCCAAGAGGATGAGGGGCTGATAGAAAGCTTGCTTTCTCAAAACTTACTCTTTCTCTCGGTTCCAGACATAAACATCACTGCCATGTCAAATCTTTTCAGTTGAGAAAGTCTTTGTAGGACTTCAAAGATGAGAGATGGCTTTTCCTTCCTAAAATAGTCCAAAAAGAAACATAAGTGATCAGCTAACGGCAGCTATTTATCTCCAGTAACAAGGTCTTCACTGTCCCCACAGCACGCCTGTATTTAAGAGCACAGAGAAGTATACCCAGCCAACCGCAGACACTGCAGTAGCTCGAATGGGAGTGCACACGGCACACTGCTCTGCGCTCACAGAGCTCTTCGTGCACTGCCTTTCGCTAGAAGGAAGTCCTTCCCTCATTTAGACTTTCCCTCCATCACTGCTCATCATCTCATTTCTGTAACAGTAAATCGTACTAGGAAGCTAATGTTGCCATGTACAAAATATTAAGATCAAAGGGAGTGAATTTTCTAAATCATTGGACATAACATTATAACGTGAGAATACAACTAAAAACTTCAACTTACTCAATGTAGAAGTCATGTAAGATTTTAATGATTTGATTGAATACATCTGGATCTAGGTTTCTCTGAAACAACTTCGGATACAAAGATGGTTCGATTTTCTTGGGAAAATAAGAGTTAGAAAGTTGAATTTGATAACATTCATATTACATTATTACACAATAATTGCTCAGGTAAAATATTATGAATAATTACTAAACACCACTAGTTAATGAGAAATAGGTTTTACTTAGACACAACTCTGAAAGGAGGGAAGTGATACGGGCAGAAGATAATCAGGGCTCCAAGCTGGAAGGCGCTCAGGATCAAGGGTGCTTCTCCCTGTTTGAGCAGAGGACTGGGGTTCAACTCCCAGCACCCCCATGGTAGCTCACAACTGCTATGACTCCAATTCCAAAGGGTCTGACACATTCGTATGCACACACACACACACACACACACTTAAAAATAATAATTAAAATAGAGAAACCCATGGACTGAAGAGATGGACCCCTATGAAAGAGCTCCCAAACCCCAGCTACGAATAGAGATGAAGGTGGACTGGCTTGAGGTATCACTGGGAGTAACTGTTAAAAGTGTAAGGCAGGGTTCCTACGCTTGAAAAAGACCACACTACTCTATGATTTGCTAAGTTCATATGATTTAACTTATGTTCTTGACGCAAGTAAAAGCTCACTTTCAAGAAAACAAGTGTCCAGATTCTGTGAGCACTGCCCAGCACACAGACCTCAGGATTTCGGTTTCCTTCCCCCTCTTGAAGAATTAAACACTAAAGCTTAGGGTATAAAATATAAAGTTAGACTTTAAGTCATTTTAGGCCCTGGAATTTCACATACAGCTCACTTCTCAAAAAGAAAATCAAGTTTCCTAAGTAAAGGACAACGTACACCAGAAGGGAGAGGCATTTTCTGCAGCTGTCTTACACAAAAGGCAACAGCGCTGAAGCACGCAGAAGACCTTCTCTGACTACTTCCAGGAGCACGGTGGGGCTTACCTGTAAGTACTGATACAACATGTCTGGGGAGCTTCTCAGCTGTCTGAAGTCAGACTCGAGCTGGAAGGAGTTGGCAGGAACTGGAGGCAGAACAGCAGTGGCAAGCTGACCCGGCGTCTGCTCCGCCTTCACACCCATCTTCTCACTGAGAGGCTGACACACGTCCTGCTTCAAATCACCCTGTGGTCTGCATTAGTCAACCGCAACAAAACAAGCAACCAAAACTCAATATCGATAAAGGAGAGAGTAACGGGAAACTTCTAACTTCCACTTTGTTAATGCTGTGTTCTCTATCTGCATTCTGACAGAGTGCACACAACATACATGTTTATGACACGGATGTGTATGCCCTTTCCATGTTTGTGTAAAATATACAACATGTATCTTTAAAACTTGTGCATATACTTTGCAAATCTTCATATTCTAGCTATGCAGTGGCTGTAGTCAGTCACCTGCTGGGGATGAGTGGGCCACCCTTTGAGAACATCATCTCTATCTAGCAAAACTCAGCCTTTCAAAGTCTGAATTATCACAGCTTCAAGATATTTCAAAAAGGAAGAAATACTTCACTTTAAAGCCAACTCTTCAGCATTTCTGAATAATCCATATAATATCTTAAATAAAACTTCTACTACAGTCCAGTGTTTAATATAGACAAACTTCATGAGTTTACTGAATGGCAATGTAAGACTAACCAGAAGCCCAAACCAACCAAGTAGGCCTGAATCTTCTCCAGCCATCAGTAAGGGAACCGTATGGCCCAAACTACCTCCCTCTCTCCCCCTCTCTCTCCCTCCCTCCCTCCATTCCTTTCTTCCTTCCTTATTAACTCTAAGTTAGAACTTCCATTAAGGCATTTTCACAGAGACGTATCATTATACTGTGTTCTAATTCACCCAACCCCTACCACCACCCTGCCCCCACCTCCCTTGCTGAGGTCCCTCCTTCCTTCCATATTTGTTTTTGGATCTTAATTCTAAACTATATTTATTTATAGAGTGCTCAGCATTCTTCAGTATTGATGGATATAATGGTAACATTTAAATTCTTCATTTCTTATGGTGCTTCCTTCTATCAAATTTTCTCTCTCTCAAGCTCTGTCTTGCTAAACAGTAAAATAGATGGAAGATCTAGAGAAGAAAATGAGCAAAATCAATCTGATTAAGAGTTAAAACACGGGGCTGAAGAGATGGCTCAGAGGTTAAGAGCACTGGCTGTTCTCCCTAAAGGTCCGGAGTTCAATTCCAAGCAACCACACGGTGGCTCACAGTGACCTAAGAGGAGATCTGGTGCATAATGAGATCTTGTATGTACATATAAATAAATCTTAAAAAAAAAAAAAAAAAGTTAAAACACAGCCAGGCACTGGTAGTGCACACTTTCAATCCCAGCGCTAGGGAGGCAGAGGTAGGGGGATCTCTCTAAGTTCAAAGCCAGCCTGGTCTACAGAGCAAGTTCCAGGACAGCCAAGGCTACACAGAGAAACCCAATCTCAAAAGGAAAGAAGACGGAGAACACTTTGTTCATCTGTAAGTCACCTGTAGCTGCCTTTGGTAAAGGAAGGATGATGTTCCCTAAGCAAAATCTCACCCTGCAGATGGAGAAGCAAACTAGATCCTCCAGGTAGTCACTGCTCAGATGTGAGTGATAAGGATGAGTCAGAGCTCTCTGCAGTACCCCTGCCTGTGGGATCACCGTCACTACAAAGATGTCACAGGGCTACTCACAGTGGGGCCGAAGCGTCACTGATTTCTTCTATTTTCAACATTTTAGCTCTGGGAGTATCACCTGCAGGCAAAGGGTCCCCCTGGCTTGAATTCTTCTTGCTTGGGGTGCCCACAGCTGCTGGTGGATTTGCTCGGCCACTCTCAGGAGCAGTGGCAGTGCTATCTGGCGCATCAACAGTCTCTATTAAATTGCCAATTTCTTCAATAGAAACCTTCTTGAGTGCTTTCTAAAACAATTAAAATTGATTCTTTAAATCAGTATATTAAAAAGTTTTCCCATCTTAAGGTCACAAATTTCAAAAGACTGCTATGTTCTTACAGCTAACATCCCAGTTAAAAGTAAATTTAATTTGTTGGCCAGACAGACTTAGGAACTTACTCTGTCTGAGAATACAAACAATAAACAGCTATTTGCCTACCATGGGAAGTAAGGGTGTACACAGTGACAGCGGCAAAGGTGAAAGCTAAAGTGTTGAGAGAGGAGAGGCAGAGCAGAAGGCTGTAAGGCAGGCCATGGGGGAGGAAGGAGAGAGCCGTGCAGACGCCTCGTGAGGGACTGAGGAACCTGTGTGCGCATCACAGTTTGGACTCCATCTTCAAGACAATAAGGGAAAAGGACAGGACATCCTAACAGCAGTTCTGTGGGCTGAGAAAGAACAAGAGTAGCCTGGAACCAGCACCACATAAGAAAGTCTGGCACGAAAGCCTAAGTACACTCCTCAGGTGTGCGGCAGCCCACACTACAGACTTGCCAAGTCAGGCTTACGAAGCTGGTAGGGGCTGTCCAAAGTGATGTTCCAGTTCAATAAGTACCATCCACTGTTGACCAAGTTAGCACCACACAGGCAGCTTCTCTTGTTTCTGCGGCTGTGCTATGCTCTGACAGCTGCCCGCAAGCTTCTGTCAGAGTGCTGGGATTACGGCTGTTCTTCACTGATCCAGCTTTTCATGGGTTCCAGGGAATGAACCTGTGTCCACAGCCTGCATAGCTGTCCAGCCCTCTCCTGGCCCTACTGCCCACTTCTGTTTATAATACTTCAGTCTCTTGTTACCTTTGTCTATTAGGAGGGTCATGTGGAGGTCAGAAGACAACGGACAAGTCAGTCCTCTCCTCCTATACAGATCCCAGAGATCACACTCAGGGTGTCAGTGGGTGACAAGCACGTTCACCCACTGGACCATTTTGCTGGCCCCTCTCAATCTTTAAGTGTTCTTGCCTTGTTCCTTAATTTTTAAAAAGCTTTGTCTTATTAGTATTTATACTTTTGTACTGTGTCAGCTGGTTATAACTTGTGTCTCATTGGAAAGGGCATTTATGTCTGGCCTGCTTTCTCTAAACCTAATTTGAGGTACTTTCTCTACTGCTTTCCATACCTCCAATAATCTCTTCCTCATTCTTTAACCCCTTTTCTGCTTTCCCATGCCCCTTATTCACTACTTAAATGCTGAAACAAAAATGCTGTAAACTACATTTTCCCAGCCAATACCCTAGTGGTCTCCTGGCCCTGAGCACGGAGAGATGCCCAGTACCTTCCCCTGCTGTCAGCTTTCTCCTGTACATAACAAGCAGAGACAATCCATCAGCACAAACAAAAGCAGGCGGGGCGAGGGAAACCAAAATCCAAAGCAGCTTATGTCCCAGATGACACACAAACACAATAAAACAAACACCAATTCTGCCACAGCAAGTTCTCACCAAGCTGACACCTTCTTGATAAGAAAAATAAAGAAGATGACACGCCTGGAATGCCAGAAAAAGCTTCTAAAAAGGATCAATGATCATCTAAGGGACCCAAATATCAATTCAGGACATAGACAAGAAGTTACCAAAGAGGATAAGTAATAATCGGTAACATGAAGGAAAAGTCACCAGGGAAACTAACACTAAAAAGGCACCAAACAGAAATTCCAGAAGTGGAAGAATCACTAGAATAACAACACATCAGGAAGCGGCAATGGACAATGCCAACCAGAATTTCAGAGATGGAAGACAAAGTTAAACAATAAAAAATATAAAACTGACTCATATTCCTTTATATAAGAAAAATGTAAACATGTGTAAGTGGAACACACGCTGCACAGAAATGAAGACAGGTGAATTCTCCCCAATTTTGTCAATACATTCTATGAGGCATTTATTAAAAGAGTATTAAACAGGTACATCAAGGTTTTAACATTTTTAAGTTTACTAGTTCAAAGGTTTGTTTCCAATTCTAGTAATTTAACACATTAACGGTTGGGGAGATGAGCGAGCTTTACTTACAGATGGCCCACGATCAGCTGGGTTAGCTACAGGCTTTATCACATTGTGTCTCTGTGTGGAGTCAAGAAAGACATCATCCCAATGTCCTTTCTCAATTAATTCCTTGAAAACAAATTTGGAAAGACTATGAAAATAGTCTTGAGTTTAACTGTGTAACCAACAAATTTATGTATCAGATAGTAGAATACTTTGGTGAAGAAAGTGTTACCTTTTTAATTTTGGAAAGCTCGGTCACTGCTTGCTTATTTCCAGGTTCCAGAAGCAAAACAGTTTCAAAATCTAATGAAAATTAAAAAAATAAAGTAACAAAATAGTAAAATTATTTTAAAGATGACTTCTTTAGTTAATAATCCCTGTATTTATTTATTTATTCATTTATTTATTTACTTACTTAGGCTCTTTTGTAGCCCAGTTGTCCTTAAAGCAGCTATACAACAAGATAACCTGATCCCTGATCATCCTGCCCCTACCACCCAAATGCTGGGATTATAAGCATGCCACCACACCCAACAGAGATCCCATTTTTATCTCAGTGAGTTTTACTTGGGACACTAGGAGGGGAGCAACTATAAGAACAAGTGTTGTTAAGCTGCCCACGTGAATTTTCATGGAACTCTTACTCCTTGAATTGTAGATGACACAGACTTATGGAGCCCTGAACTTAACCACAGCTCACACTTTAAAATGATGGAGTTCAGACAAGATGAGGCATGTTCAGGATGTTAAAGAGGGAGAATCTGAGGGAAGAGCTAATCAATGCCAGGCCCAGCTTGAGACCCATGCCATGAGAGGGAGCCCACCCCTGACACTATTAATGATACTCTGCTATACTTGCAGACAGGAGCCTAGCATAAATGTCATTAGAAAGGCTTCACCCAGCAGCTGATGGAAACTGATGCAGAGACCAAACATTAAGTGGAGCTTGGGGAATCTGTGGAAGAGGGGGAGGAAAGATTAAAGTACCCAGAGGTGTCAAGGACACCACAAGAAAATCCACAGAATCAACTAACCTGGGCCCATAGGGGCTCACAGAGACTGAACTGCCAACCAGAGAGCATGCATGGGACTTACCTAGGCCCTCTGCACATATGTAACAGTTCTTCAATGGAGAACTCTTAAAACGGGAGGAGGGGCTATCTCTGACTACATATGCCTAGTCTTGCTGCAACTTGATATGCCAAGGCTGGCTGATATCCATGGGAAGCCTCTCCTTCTCTGAAGAGAAAGGGAGGAAGGATGGATGGGAGGAGGTGAGATGACGGGAGGGACTGGGAGGAGAGGAGGAAGGGGAAGCTGCAAACAGGATGTAAAGTAAATAAATAACAACAAAATTAGATAATAATTAATTATACTAATTTTATTATTATTACTATTATTGTTATCAGAAAAGTGATGGCATAACTCCCTTGAGAGAATACCATACCCTAAAATATTACTCAGTTTTTAAAAGGCAATGAAGCCAGATGTGGTAGCACATTCCTATAATCCCAGTACTTGGGAGGCAGAGGCAGAACTGCTATGTTCAAACCTAGCCTGGTCTACGTATCAATTGCTGGGCCAGCCAGGGCTAACACAGCATGCCCTCTCTGAAAACCCTGAAGAAAAGGCCAGTAAGTTGCTCAGCTGGTACAGGCACTTGCCACAGCCTGACTGATCTAAGTTCTACCCCAGAACCCACATGGTGGAAGAAAAGAACTAACTCTTTGCAAACTGGCCTCTGACCTCCATCTGCGTGTCTGTGACATGTGGGAGGGCATTTGCTCACTGGAGTTTCCTCTTCCCAAATGACTCTGGCTTGTGTCAAGTTGAGACAAAACTAGCCAGGACAGATTTCAAAGGAAAACCAACAGTGAGAAACAAGAACAAGTGAAATCCAAAGATGAACGAACAAAGGGCAAAAAGCAATGAAAGAAAACACAAGTAACAGAACCAAGTTAGTTTTCTGAAGAGTGATAAAATGAATCCCTAAAGGACAAGATCATAAAGGAAGAGGAAATGAGAATGAGAAAGAATGAGAAAGGAGGGGCTAGAGAGATGGCTCAGAGGTTGGGAGCACTGCTTGCTCTTCCAGAGGTCCTGAGTTCAGTTCCCAGCAAACATACAGTGGCTCACAGCCATCTGTGGTGGGATCTGTTGCCCTCTTCTGGCAATCAGGTGTACATGCAGGCAGAACACTGTATACACAATAAAATGGATAAACGTTTAAAAAAAGAAAAAGAAAACTTAAAAAAAAAAAGAACAAGTCATTTATTAAAAAGAAAAAGAATTAGAAAGGAGAGCCAGGTGTGGTGGTGCACACCTTTGATCGAAGCACTCAGGAGACAGAGGCAGTGGATCCCCATGGGATGGAGGACGGCATGGTCTACATAAGAGACCCTGTACCACATAAAGCAAAAAGAATAAAAGAGGAAATCACTACAGCCGTCATGTTGATCTCAATGCTGCAGCTGCTGATTCCCTCTCTTCTCGACTATTTGTTTTTCCTATTCCTCTTCAATTGAAATGTTCCTTTCAGTTGGCGATTAACCAGAGTATGTTATTAATAATCCAGCACACCATGTATGGTCCAGTTTTCAAACTCACCCTTGATCGCCAAAGCGTGCTTTGTGTCCAGGTCCCTTATACTGTGGGAAGCTATGGGCATCTTTGCTTCTACTCTTGGGAGTCTTAACAGGCTGAACATGTCAGTTATTATATAGTCGTACCTTGCTTGGCCTCAGTAATCTTTCCCAAATATGTTCTTGCAGTTCCTCTTCTAGCAAAAGCTTTTGAATATGAACCATCTAGGAAGATCGCTTGTGTGCAGTCTCTTTCAGCTTCCTCATATCTATTGAACACAATAAAATTACTACCTGGAGAACATGTAGCTTATAGAAAATACAATACTGGGTCCGGCAAGATGGCTAAGTGGGTAAAAGTGCTTGTTGTTAAGGCTGAGGACCTGAGTCTGTTATCTAGGACCCATACAGTGGAAGGAAAGAACCAAATCTCAGAAACTAACCTCCGTCCTATGTTGCCAATACACACTCAAAACACACTCACACACACACTCTCACATATACACAGACATATACACCACACACACAAATAAATAGATAGATAGATAGATAAATAAAAACAGGAAGAAAACAAAATACAAGCTAAGCTTTTCTTGTTTTGTTTGAGTCCAACATCTTATTATGTCGCCCAGGCTGGCTTAGAACTTGTATCCCCCCTCCCTTTTCGGCCTGGCATATATAATTTCAGTTAACAATTCCTAAGATTCTGTTTAAGAGGAAGGACTATTTTAAAAATGTCTCATCCCCACTAAATCTTTGAACCACCTGGAAAGGAAGGAAAGAGCACCCATCTAGGGGGAGTCAGAGAAGGGTGGCGCCCCGGCCATATAGCAGACAAAGAACCCATTGCTGCAAGACATCTCTCCAGCCCTGGTGTGCAATGGGGCTACATGACCGTCACAAAGGGCACCGCTGGCTTTCTAAACAACCTCGTCATTGTCCAGAACAGCTAACTTTGTTTTTTTTTGTTTGTTTGTTTGTTTGTTTTGTTCTGTGTAGCCCTGGCTGTCCTGGACTCACTTTAAAGACCAGGTTGGCCTCGAACTCACAGAGATCTGCCTGCCTCAATCTCTCTTTTTTTTTTTTTTTACCTTCTTCTCTCTTCCTTTTTTTTTTCTTTTCTTTTTTTTTTTTTTTCAAGACAGGATCTCATGTAACCTAAAATGATCTTGAATTTCTGATGCTCCTGCTACATGCTGGGACCACCACACCCAGCTTCTCTGATTAATTTTCTTCACTTTTTAGCAAGATGAAGATCATCTGTCTCCAAGCTCTACCTATTTTCTGTGTGAGTGCGTCAGTCTCCCATTTTGAGATGCCTGCACAGGACCTGCACTTCTGAGGATGCCAGTCTTCAGAGCACACAGGGAGGGACCGGAGTCTTCTGTCACCTCATACAAACCACTCCCAGCCACACCAACCCTAAACATGCAGCCAGCAGCTCACTCTGCTTCACCTCACTGGCGCAGGCTGCCTAGGCAGGGCTTTCCTCACTGCGGCTCCTCAGCTAGGTTCCGCACGTCCTCACACCTGTGCTCAGGCCTCCTTGTCTTCCAGCCTGTGTCTCATGTGCCTGTCCCTCAGCATCATCCCAATGTAATTTAATTAATTACTGCCTCTTTCATGCCTCTCCCTCCTTTAAGAAACTTCATGTTTATTAAAGTAACTGAACATTTACTTACTATCTGCATATTTAATACCTTTCATGGTGCTACAGAACACCTGACACATTTTAGCTCAATAAATGCTTGCTGTATACATAAACCACAAAACCATACTGTAATTCAAAGAAAATTAAGAAGATAAATGTTTAGAAAGAGAAGGAAAAAGTTTAGCAATCAGACTAAAAATGTAAATTCTCTAACAAGACGGATGGCCACTGTTGTCAACAGACTCATATGAGTCATTTAAAAGCACTGAATATCCCATATGTTCTGCAAGCACAGGCTCGATTTAGTAACTTTCAATTCATAAAACCTTTGGGATGGTGGGAGAAACCAACTAATAAAAAATAAAGATAGTTCACAGAGTGATGAAGTCTGTGCCTAGCTGCGGACACTCTTCTCCCCTCAGTTGGGTCTGCCTGTTCTAGACACCCCACAACACAGGCGTCCATCCCACCTGCAGTCGGCAGAAGTGACTGAAGCAAATCATGGCGGACTTCAGTTCGAGCACGCAAGGGTCGCTCTTTTGGGAGACCAATTCCTAACCCTGTTTCCTGTAGCTAATAGTCCTCGGTTGTCTGTTTTACTCTGTCTCCTGAGACAGGGTTTCTCTGTGTGGCCAGGGCTGCTCTGGAGCTCACTCTGTAGGCCAGCCTGCCTCTGTCTCCAAGGGCTAAGATTAAAGGTCTGCACTGCCACACCCAGCACACTAGAGCTCTGGTACCTCAAGACTAGGACCCAGATTTGTTGTGGGTCCACTCTGTTCAAGTACTGACGTCCTGCCTCAAATGTCTGGCCACTGTATCTGTTATCTTGGTGCCTCCTTAGCAATTCACCAAACTACATTCCACAATTTGCTGCTTCCAGACCTTCCCTCACTGTAATTCAAGGTTGCCTTGTTCATCTCCCTGAAACCAAATCGGGATACAGATATAATCTTTCTGATTACTTTAGCTAGCCTAACAACTTGACTTTCTTTCTCTTTCTGTGTGTAGCAATGTGGAAGGCAGAAGTCAGCGTGCAGTGTCTGAACCCTCTCCACCTTTATGAGACAGGATCTTTTGCTCTACGTGGAGCTCACCAACTGACTCGACTACTGGCCTGGCAAGCCCGTGCTCCTCCTTCTGGGGCTGGGATTTCAGGCGTTGTGCTATCATGCCCAGCTTTTTATGTGGGCTCCAGGGATGCACACTCAGACTCTCCTGCTGGGAGCTGAACTAGTTCTCCCCGCCCAGCCCACTGTCATTCCTAGTTCTCCCTGTTCCGTTCCACCCACCTCATCAGCTCTACCTTGACATGGCTGTAACCAAGCCACAAGACTGCTACCTAAACAAAGAGCTGTTGAAGCCTGCGGTGATGCCTTTGTGTTCTACATTAGCCTAATACATACCACACACACATAAGTAATACACAGTATGCCTACCATCAAACTGTGCACTGTCTATTACAAACATAAAGATAGTAACACGCACATGACCGTGCCAGGCCACATGTACACACACTCCTTGTCTCTACTCTCTCATTAACTTCAATGTAATGCCGAAGGATAAATCAAGCAGCCACAGGCTCAGCTCAACAATGGAGCACTTCTGTAGCATGCGAGAGGTCCTGGATTCTAACTCTAACATCATTACCAAGAAGAAAGAAGAAACTAGAAAAAAAGAAGGGAGGAAAAGAATCCAATAAACAAGTACCATGCATGGAGATAACCTAGAACCCTGCACAGATGTAGCCCTTGGCGGTTTAGTGTCCAAGTGGGTTACATAGTAATGGGAAGAGGGATTGCCTCTGACATAAACTGATTGGCCTGCTCTTTGATCACCTCCCCCTGACGAGGGAGCAGCCTTACCAGGCCACAGAAGATGACAATGCAGCCACTCCTGATGAGATCTGATAGACTAAGATCAGAAGGAAGGAGGGGAGGACCTCCCCTATCAGTGGACTTGGGGAGGGGCATGCATGAAGAAGGGGGAGGGAGCGTGGGATTGGGAGGGAAGGAGGGAGGGGCTTATGGGGGATACAAAGTGAATAAAGTGTAATTAATAAAAGTTAAAAAAAAAGAATCCAATAAAGAGATAGACAACAAAAATACTAAATCAACTAAACTTAACTTTGTTAACTGGTTAATTACGGATGCAGTCTGTAGTAAATTTTACCCTGAAAGCAAAACATAAGCAATACTCACTTCTGAATCTTAAGATAGGCCATTGCTCTGTTGGCTGGAAGCAGGGCATTGGTACCATCTGCTGCTATCCCTCTAGTGTAGCATTCAATTGCTCTCTCATATTTTCCCTCTTTGAAAAATCCATTCCCCTATTATTTTGGAGAGAAGTATGAAAGTCAAAACATGCTGAAAAATTAATTCAATTCATATTTTAAAGAAACATACCAAGCTGGGCATGGTGGCACATGCCTTTTATCCTAGCACTCAGGAGGTAGAGGCAGGCAGATCTCTGTGAGTTGGAGTCCAGCCTGGTCTACAACGTGAGTCCAGGACAGCCAGGACTCTGCTACACACAGAAATCCTGTCTTGCAAAACCAAAAAAAAAAAAAAGAGTAAGCATGAGGACCTGAGTGCTCACCTCCAGAGCCCACATTACTCTACTGCGTAAACAGCAAAGGTCCAAACATTACACTAACTCTTCACTTACATTAGAATTTGACAAAAAATGGGCTGGGGATACAGCCTAAGACAGAGAGTTTGCTATTGTGCCCAAGGCCCTGGTTTTGGTTTAGCACTGAAAAGCAAGAAAAGGGGAAGAGAGGGGAAGGAAAAAGGAATAAAGGAATAAGGAAGAAGCAAGGAATAGAGGAGGAGAGAGAAGGAAAGTATACAAAAGAATTGCAAATGCAATTTTCCCCACAAGGAGGTGGTTTTTGGAGACAAGGTGTCCTATAACTAGACCATCTCAAAACTCAGTAGGTAGCTGAACATGGCCCTGAACTTCTGACCCTCCAACCTGTCACGCCTAAGAGCTAAGATTACAGACATGCACTACCATGGCCAGCTCCAAAGTCAATTTTATGGAAGAGCACAGTAGTAAAATTACATAGCTAACTCTTAAGTAATAGTAACATTGCTAAATGTAACGCATGTTTTGAAATCTTGAGATTTATTTATTTTTATTTTATGTATGAGTGTTTTGCTGCATGCTTTGTTTATAGATCATGTGTGTGCCTGATGGCCATGGAGGCCAGAAAAGGATGTCATTTTCTAGAACTGGCATTACGAATGGTTGTGAACCATGATATGGGTGCTGGGAATCTTCCAGGTCCTTTGGAAGAGCAGTCAGTGCTCATAACCAGTCAGCCATCTCCCCAGCCCCAATATAAGCTAAACTACATTGACACAGACTTTCTATTTATATCATTCAAATAATATTCCAGCCACTGATTTCATAGGAATATCTTAGGAATCCTCTGTGGACCCACAAAAGGTGATAAATTCATTAATTTGGGGACTAGAGAGGGGGCTCCGCAGTGGCACACAGGCATACATACATGCAAGCAAAAGTGTAATTTGTTTATGAATATGCACATAAATTAACTTCTTCTTTTTTTTTTTTTTTTTTAATTTCGGGATAGGGTTTCTCTGAGTAGTCCTGGCTATCCTCAAACTCAGAATCTGCCTGCCTCTGTCTCTGTCTCCTGAGTGCTAGGATTAAAAGTGTGGGCCACCATGCCTGGTTACCAAATTTAATTTTAACTAAAATATAATTAAATCATTTCCCATCTGAAAATTCATTAAATCTTCTCAATTGAAAATTTATAAAGAAATTTCAATCAGAAAGCTTTGTATGAATTATAAGCACATTATAAGAATGTGAACTGTAACTTAGCTCTGTATTAAATTTTAATTATATATAAATGTATGTAGCTTATTCTCTAAACCTAAATGCTCTTATAATTATTTCACATGTGATTATTCTTAGGAATAAGTCATCAATAACTCAAATTTTGAATTAGTAGCCACCAAAGGTTTTAGTGTACTTAATTTCTACTTCCTACACACACACACAATTTATGTTAGAGACAGAAATTTCACTGACATACAAGAAACCAGGAGAAAGCATTTCATTGGACATACTCATTACACATCAGAATCCCACTGGATTACCAGATCTTTCTCTGAAATGGCCTTCTGCTTGTTCTGGTGATCTTCAATTTGTTTTTTCTCTCCTTCAGGTGGTTTAATTACTGTAGCAGCTTCCTTGGGACGGGAGTTTTCTTTGGATGTTAAAGCCTACGAGACACAGCACTCAACTAAAATAAAACAAGTAATGCAAGACGCATCTATATTAGGTTTACAATGTAAACTATTTAAATATATTAAAATTTCTGTTACACTCATAATTAAAATGCTTTCTATTATAATTCATTCTTTCTACTTATTAAAGTAAAGGCAATATATGTCTATATATGTAAAATGAATTTAATATGCTTCCTCTTTCAAGTAAAATAAGTAGTATCCAGCAAATAAAGTTCGTCATTTACTTAATCTACAAATATTTGCCAAATGTCTACACAATCCAGGCACATTGCTAAAATTTCCCAAATTTATTCAGTTTCTATTTGACCTAATATACAAGAAATATACTTTGCAACTATAATGAAGTTGATTATTTACCAACAATTTTATGTTCAGTAAATAATCATTAAAATCAGATTTCTCCAATCACTGTTACTTTTTTACAATGTGCCAAATGGCAAAACAATAGCAGCTTTAATTAAAGGCAAAGTGACAGGAGTATGCAGCTGCTGTCTATTGTCTGACCACTGTTTCAAGTTTAAGTGATAACTAGTGTCTATTTTTCTTTTAAGATGTGGTCTCAGAGCTAGTCTCACATTTGGGCTCTCCTGCCTCTCTTGGTCCAAGTGCTAGAACTACTGGAGTGAGCCATCGTGTCTGGCTATCCCCTTACTGTTAAGAAGTTAGTATTTTTTTTTTTAACATACAGCTTACACAGCACAAAGCCACATAATATGCAAGCATTCATCACATAAGAGCACATAGAAACAGTCAGTGAAACAATTTAAAAACCAGGCTGGAGGGATGGTTCAGTGGTTAAACGTGATTGCTGCTTTTGCAGAGGCCACAGGTTTGGGTCCCAGCACTCACATCAGGTGTTTCACAACCACTTGCAACTCTAGTTCCAGATCTAATGCTCTCTTCTGGACACACATGCACCTAATTGAAAATAAAATAAACTTCTAAAAATTATTCTTTTTTGTTTGTTTGTTTTGACACAGGGTTTCTCTGTGTAGCCTTGGCTGTCCTGGAATCATTCTTTAGGCCAGTCTGGCCTTGAACTCACAGAGATCCACCTGCCTTCGCCTCCCTGAGTGCTAGGATTAAGTATGTGTACCATCACATCCGGACTTTTTCTTTTAACTATTTCCAATTAAAAGAAAGGAAGAACGAATGAATTTTAAAACTGTCTTCTGTGAGAAAAAGCAATAGTCCTGGAAATCTCAGCCAACTTTTTCTTAAAACCATATTTTATTTTATTTAGTAATATACTTAATATATGATAAAATGATTTGATGGAGTTTTAAACAGAACTTAAAAAATAAAAAAGTTAAGAATCATTTTTCCTAAGTGGGTCAATGTTAGCCAACTTATAAAAATGCTTACCAGTTAGGGTCAGTATCACTGTATCTCTGCCTTACCACTTTGGTTAAACCACTTTGGTACATGAAATAAAATTATAAAATTTCTGTTTAATTCCAGAACTTGGAAGGCTAATGCAGGAGGACTGCCTCAAGTTTGAAGCTATTCTACACTACATATTGAGATCCTGGAAAGAAATCTATTGGGCATGAGGGACTAACAAAATGGCTGAGCAACTGAAGAGCACTGGGTGTTCCTCCAGAGGACCCAAGTTTAACTCCCAGCACCCACATGGCAGCTTACAACCATCTTTAACTCTAGTTTCGGGGCATCTGATGCTCTTCTGACTGTCACAGGCACCAGTAAGTACATGCTGCAAACATGCATACAGGCAAAATGCGCACACACATAAAAATAAATATTTTTAAAAATCTATAGTGTAGGGGCTGGAGAGATGGCTCAGGGGCTAAGAGCACTGGCTGCTCTTCCAGAGGTCCTGAGTTCAATTCTCAGCAACCACATGGTGTCTCATAACCATCATAATGAGATCTGGTGCTCTATTCTGACTGGCAGGCAGAACAATGTATATGTAATAAATAAATAAAAAAAAATAAATCTTAAAAGAAAAATCTATAGTACATACAAAATCTAAGCAAAAAGTTTCACCTGCATGATATAAAAGCCAAACCTAATGCACTTAAATGGCTATAATTTATTTACCTGATCAATTTTCCTGAGTTCATTTGTTGCTTCAAAGTTATTTGGTTCCAGTTCTAGCACTTTTTCATAATCTAAGTGAAACAGAAGACAGAGCATTTCTGAAAATATGGTTCAACAACTTGTACAAAACTATAGCCTTTTGCTACATGTGACACAGAAGCCACTATTCTATGACATGAACTATCAACAGCTATTAAGCCACTAAACATCTTTCATTGTCTCCCAGGTCAGACAAAACCCTAAGAAAATCCCTTCACAACCCACCCTCCGCCAGCTCCCAGGTGGTCATGGCATCAGAATGCGTGCGCCACTAAGGCACCCAGGGCAAACGCCATTCAACTTCAGCTTTCTTCAAACTGTAATTATTACACAAGTCTTGATATAGAATAAGACAACAATACTAATAATAAGACATGTTGTGTTTGCCTCCTGCCTCACACAGCCAACAAGATGACCTCATCTTTAATTTGCAGATGGAAACCAAAAGTCGGAAGACACGGGTCACACACGCTGCGGTAATGTTAAATTAAGCAAAAATCTGAAACAAAAGCTGACCAGTGGCAAACAAAGCACTGTTTCCCCAAATTAGAAGAATCTTTTAAGCTGCCAAAAAAGGGCTGTGAGACGGCTTAGCAGGTAAAGGCACCCACCCACAAGCCCGACAAGCTGGCTTTGATCCCCAGGACCCATGCACTGCGTGGAAGGAGAGAACCGACTCCCTCACGTTGCTCCACTTATGTACGGTGGCACGCACACATCCAAACATACTTATATATATTTTTTTAATTGTAAAACAAATATTTTTAGTTGCCAAGAAAGCGAGCTTTGTTCAAAGCAGTGTGTAAAGGGGGCTACACTCACTTAGTGCCCTCTGTGTGCTAGTTAAATGACTAGGGACATACATAGGTGACTTGGCAAGATTAGTACCTTTCCTGGCATCCTCCAATTTCTGCAGAGCAAACCGAGCAGCACCTCGTCTGGCGTAAGCCTTGGTGTAATTCCTGCTTAACGCAATTGCCAAATTACAGTCAGACTCGGCAACAGCGAATCTACAATTAGAAACATAAGTAAAATTATAAATATTATTTAATAAACAAAAACTTCAAAATTTATTTTTTAAATTTCTAAGAGAAGATTTACTTCCCGGGTACAGGAGTATCTCCCATCTTCTTTTATTTAATTAAACTTAAAAATAATCTCTTCTCTCACCCCATCCCATGCTGGGAATAGAACCCAGGACCTTGCATACACACTATTACGCTACACACCAGTCCATAAAAGCAGTAATTTTTTTCTTTTTCTTTTTCTTTTTTTTTTTTTTCTGAGACAGGGTCTCACTGTATAACCCTAGGTGGCCTAGCCTAGAACTCAACATGTAGACCAGGCTTGCCTTGAACTCCCAAACTCACAAAGATCTGCCTACCTCTGCCTCCCGAGTGCTGGGATTAAAGGTGTGTGCCACCACGACAGGCAATTTCTTGGTTTTATGGGATTTCAAGAGTCTATAAGAAAAAAAAAGACAAGCTACAGAACTGTCGGAAGACAGCTTTTATAAACAAATGTCAAGCTGGTCATGGTGGTGCACAGCACTCAGGAATCAGAGTTATAGAGTAAGCCCAGGACAGCCAGGGCTACAAAGAGAAACCCTGTCTCAAACACAAAAATACATACATAAATAAATAAATGTCAAAAAGTTAAGTTTCCAGAATAAAGAACTTTTAAAAGTCAATATGGCAAAAAAAAAAAAAAAAAAAAAAAAAAAAATCAATATGCATTTAACAGGAAATGGGTAAAATATAAAGCAGGCATTTCACAGAAAAAAAATTAATTTATAAAAAATTTTATATAAATATACTAGGTATATTTTAAAAAATTAGTATATTTATATACTAAATATATAAAAATATGTCCAACCTCATTAACAGCTTAAAAAAATACTTAGGCTAACCCAGGCATGGTGGTACATGCCTTTAATCCCAGCACTCAGGAGGCACAGGTAGGCAGATCATTGAGTTCAAGGCCAGTGTGGTCTACATAATTAATTCCAGGTCAGTCACAGGTACATAATAGGAACTTATCTCAAAACAACAAAAGAAAAGGAAAGTACATCTACCACCAAAACAAAACAACCCACAGGCTTGACATACAGCTCACCAAGAGTGCTTGCTTGCCTATTAGTACGCATGAGGCCCTACACTGAAGGCTTCAGAGGAAGGACATGAAATCAGACACAACAGAGGGGCTAGGAACATAGCTCATTTGCAGAGTGCCTGACTACCAAACACAAAACCTGGTTCAACGGCCAGCCCCACAACTGGGCATGCCTGTAAAGAAAAGAAGAGGTAGCCAGGAGGCAAGCAGGTCTCTGAGTTCCAGGCCAGCCTGGTCTACAGAGTGAGTTCCAAGACAGGCAAGGCCGCACAGAGAAACTTTGTCTCAAAGAACCAAAAAAAAAAAAAAAAGAAAAGAAAGAAAGGAGGCAAAAGGATCAGAGGCACAGGCTATCCTCAGCTATAATGAGTGCTGGAGCCAACCTGGGTTAGAATCCCTATCTTTAAAAAATTTTTTAGAACACAGTGAAATACATTTTTATACCTAACAAACAATTAAGTCAAATTTGTACCCATGTTGATATGGATTGAGAACAGGTATTCTTTTTTATTTATTTATTTTGGTTTTTTGAGACAGGGTTTCTCTGTGTAGCCTCGGCTGTTCTGGACTCACTCTGTAGACCAGGCCGGCCTGGAACTGAGATCCGGCTGCCTCTGCCTGGAGGGCTGGGATGAGCCACCCCTGGCTCAAACATTCTCTTTCGATGCTGATGGGCCCAGCAAGCAGCACACTACCTTACTCGTTCACTCGTCAGCACTTACGGCTAAAGGAACCCTTGCAAACTTCACCTGCCAATTCAGGGGTGCCAAAAGGCTCAGCAGGAAAGAGCTGCACTCCCAGCACTCTCTTCACTGAGTTGCCCGGGCAGCCTTAAACTCAGAACGCTTCTGTCTCTGCTTCTCAAAGTACTTTGCATTATAGGCCTGTCACCAGGACCAGAGGGAAGCATTTTTATTTCAAATTATTCAAAAAGTAAAATGAACAGCTCAGCAACATAATTTCTATTTCCAAATAACTAAAGCAGTAAGAATAAAGAATCCCAGGACAGGTCAGCTATGTGCGTGTGATGATCCTCAACATTAGCTATTGCTAATGCTGCAATATAATTTAAATTTACCAGAGAAATGTCTGCACATCAAATAGCAAATATATGGTTTTTCAAATAATACGAAGAAACTGCCTGCTAAAAACGTTTACCAAATTAATTTTTCTCTCCCCCCACCTTTTTTGCTGCTGTTGCTAGCACTGGGAATAACTGGACCTAGGCTACAAACATGCTTGTCAAGTAACCCTCTACCACAGCAATTTGTTTTAATGAATTAGGTAAAGAGCATCATGACTTTCACAGGAGAAGCTCATTAGTACACAAACTCTGAGCACCCGGTCTGAGACCCAAACGCTTACAATGGACTAAATAAATTACCTGATAAGGTAGTGACCTACAAGAACATGCAGAGTAAAAGAAATGAGATCGATGTGTTCAATCTCTCCAGTAGAAAACTAATCTCCGGGCTGGGAATGGTGGTGCCACCTTCAATCCCAACAACTGGGAGGCAGGGGTGGGGCGGGTGGATCTCTGGCCTACATAGTTCCAGGACAGCCAGGGCTACAGAATAAGACCTTGTCTCAAAAAGGAAAAAAAAAAAAAAAAAAGAAAGAAAGAAAAGAAAGCCAATCTCATACACATGACCACTCACACACAGAAGTCCTCACTTTTTCAATCTAAAGTAAGCTGATGCTCTGTTTGTTGGCAACACAGGATTATACGGATCAGCATCCATGCCTTTTGTGTAGCATTCAATTGCCTCGTCGTATTTTCCTTGCTTGAAGTATTTATTGCCCTGAAAGAAAAGAGAATTAAGCAAAATGGGTACAATCCAAGTGCTCTGCCAGGAGCTTTCCCTGACAGTGCTAGCTCGCAGAAACCCGACAAAGGCAGCAGTGTGAGCTAACCTGACAGAGAAACAGAGCCTTTCAAAGCCACTGCGGATTAAAAAAAAAATCCAGTATTTTAGACTCTGCTCCCCATTGCCTGGGTTTTAGGAGACCAGGGGTCAACAGGACACCTCCTAAGGGTCCTAAAGCTCCATCACGTCACCTGTCCTCTTGATCAGAGAGAGGATGCAGAGATTTCAGAGGCTGGACTCTAAGCAGTTCACTCTAGGAACTGCCCAAAGAAAAATGCCCCCGTGCTTATATTGCCATGAAGACCTTGACATATGCCAAAAGATGCCACAGTGGTAAAAGGACACTGAAAGAGTCAAGAGACCTAACTTAGAGAAAAAAAGTTTGATTTTTTTTGTTTGTTTGGTTTGGTTTGGTTCACCTGTATAGGAGGCCAAACACCCAGCAAGGAGAATAGCCAAAGCAAAATAACTGGTAGTAATAAAAACAACTAGACTTTTAAAAGGGATAGACAATAATTCAGGCCTAATAGGCATTCCCATTTAGCCCTAAGTATGACCTGCTAACATGGCAGGCAGACACTCACAGCAAAGCTAGCAGCAATACAAAGGTACACTCCATTTCTAACTCATCGGCAGCTACAGCCTTGCTTTGTGTTTAGGTTTGTGGCACTGCTGATAAGCATCAGCAATTATAATCTCAAGCTATTTGCCTTTTAATTTATTCTACTTCTTAAAACTGTTCTTAGGTTTTTGCCACAGCAGTGATATGTAACTATCAGTGTGTTCTTTTTACTGTCCACGGCTCTCACACTTAAAGACAATAACAGCACATGTTCTACAAACCTGATGACCCTCAGCATTCTGACGAGAGCCTACGCTGTCATTAAAGAAGGGCCACGTGTTTACCTAACAACTGGGACAGTGTGTCCTAGTCTGCTAAGATTTGCATACTAAAGTAAATTTCTGCCAGATTCTGCATTATGCTTTAATGATTTACTAACATCACAGTTCTCAAGATGACAGGTCCTGCTATTTAGTCCTAATCTTAGGAACAGCAATTCTCTGTATGCTCAATTACTTACAGACAGTAATGGCATCCTCTCCTTCTGACTGCCTGCAAACGACAACCCACAAAGCCTCAAGCTGAGATCCTCTCATGTTCCACTTAGGGAACATGGGTGAGACTTCTGATCCCTGGATCAGGAAGCTCCATGTCCCTGGTCAGCATCAGACACCCCGAATCACACTCTCAGAGGGGCAAATGTAGGCAGGACAAAAAGACCAGGAAAATTATTGAGACACGGGAGGGGGACTGAACCTTTCACCCCATAGTCTCTGACTAAAGCCTCACACTAGCTGAGATTCTAGAACAACTAACATTTGTTGTGAAGGTTGCTAACATAAAAACAATATTCTCTTACGTTAAAACAGCAATGGCCCACACTTACAGCCTGAATGTGTATGACCTTGGGTAGGGCCTGATCCCTTCCCTAAACCAGCCTGAGAATCTAGTAGTAGTTAGGAAACTACTATGCTGTTGTCCACCGCTGCTCTGCCTACAGCAGAGATATCCTACCTTCTTGCATCCCTGCGTGTGGTCCAGACCCTACCTCATCAATAGCACTTCTCTCAGGGGCCTGCCGGAACCACTTTTGTCATCTCATTTGAGTTTCTTGGCGATCCTTCAAAGACACCTTCAAAACCCACCAAAATCCTACATCTGACTGTTAAGCCTACATCCATGCTCTGGATTGTCTTTCCTCCCGACTACCCCTCTTTTTCTTAACTCTTCTGCTTAAGCCTGTGTTAAAATATCTCCTCCCCAAAAAGAAATGAGAGATACCGAACATTTCGAAGGTAACCAAAGATGGCCTCTGATAAGAAGAAGTAGAAAGTAACGTTTGTACCAATAATCACACACTCATTTCAAGTTTCTTCGGTCTACCACTAGAAGCACAAATAATCCCAGGTGCTTGGACAGCACCTGGAATCAACTCACTGAACAAACCACTGAGGTCTGAACAGCTAATACAGTGAGTCACAGATTAGAACACATAATTAATCTGGCTCTAAAGAATCTGCTCCTGGCGACTATACACACTGCACCCAACAAGGATACAGCCAAGAATATCTTAAGTGTGAATATCCCCAGAGCAATGCTCAGAATTTTAGAACTCGCATGATTTTATGCACAGCCTTCCTCCCTAAAGGAACCCAAAACTAACCTAAAGTACCTTTTCTTTTAGAACAAGAGCCTTCTGGGAGTCTACACGAATACCGTCTTCTTCTGAGTCTGATTCCTGGGACACAGAATCGTGGGTATTATCTTCTTTGTCAAGTTCATCAAGGATACTGTCCTGAAAGCAGTAGAGCAGTGTTCACAATTACCAGCAACAGACTTTAAATTGTTAGGACATAAATGGAAGCCAAACAATCTCCACAGGCTCTAAGAGCTGGATACAGGTGTGCACCTCCACACCTAGCTCTGACACAACACCTCCTTATTTTAGTGGTGTGTGCGTGAACACACACATCTGAGTATATGTTTGTGTACATGTAAGCAGATCATTGTGGAAGCAAGAAGATGAAATCAGATCCCCTGGAACTGGAATTACAATCATGAGCTGCCAGGCAGGTGCTGGGAACTGAACCTAAGTCATCTGCAAGAGCAAACTTAGCAGCCCTTAACAGCCGAGCCATCTTGCCAGCCCCACCCACTACTAGTTAAAAGACTACATTGACTGTCCTCCATGCTAAGCAACCAACATTTTGGGGAGCTCAGATGTATGGTGCTCCCACAGACCCCCAAACACAGGTTATCCCCGCTGGGCTGGTTGACAGTTTACAGCCCTCATCTCTATGGAATAGGGATGAAGACTCTCCCCTGAGTATCCTGCTCCCTACCACCTGGCAGTCTGCATGTGGCCTGGGACTAGCGCTTGCAGAAGTAAGGAAGACTAGGAGGGGCTCTGGGGACACCCTCAGCCTTGGATACGGTTTTCCAGAGGCAGCTGGTTTGGAAAGGGGTGTTCACAGCCCTGTAGGTAATCCCTTACCTAGGCTCTCTAGGAAAGACATGAGGAGAAGGCAGGGGATGGGAGGGGAAAGCAGGAGAGGTGGGGGGGGGGGAAGGAAGAGAAGAAAAGGCACTCAAGAAAATAAATAAATGGAGTTAGAGAGATGGTTCGACCATTAAGAGTGTTCACTGCTTCTACAGAGGACCCAGGTTTAGTTACCAGTGCCCACAGCTCACAACCACCTGTAACTCCAGTTGCAGAAGCTCTGACCCCCTCTTCTGCCCTCTACACACATGTGGTACATTTACACACACATAGGCAGAACAATCATACACATAAAACTAAGCAAATCTTCTTAAAAAAAAAAAAAAAAAAAAAAAACACCAAAAATAAATGTGTATTCTAAGTTGGGTTGTGACTTCTCTCCCCCAATACACACACCTCTCATCATATCACTTGAAGGAGCATGAGTCCAGAATAAGGCGGGCCAACTGGCCAGCAGGTTTCTTTTTACAGGCTAACGTGCCAGTAGCTATCTGGAGCTTTGGGAAAGGTTCTGCGGTAGAACACATCTAATCACAGCATGTGGCATACATGGGAGATGGAGCACACACAGTACACGGTGGCTATCTAGGATCTAGGAAAGGAAAGCCCTCTTACTGGCCTTCCTGTGCTGGTTAGGTTCTGTCAGCCTGACACAGGCTGGGGTCCTCTGGGAAGAAGAAACCTCCCCTGAGACAATGCCTCCATCAGACTGACCTGGAGGCAAGTCTGTGGGGTTGTTATTAGCCTCAGAGGGCCCAGCCCACTGTGGGCACCACCACCCCTGGGCAGTGGTCTAGGGTTGTGTAAGAAAGCAGGCTGAGCAAGCTCTCAAAGCAAGTCAGCAGCCCTCCATGCTTCCATTCCCACCTCCAGGGGAATTTCTGAGCTCCTGCCCAGGCTTCCCTTGATGCTGGACGCCAACCTGTATGAGGTAGTGAACCTTTTCCTCCTTGAATAGCTTTTGGTCAGGATTTTATCACAGTAACACAGAGGCACATTAGGACACCTACTTTCAGCTGGCACGGTGGTACGAACCTGCTTCTAATTCGGAATTCCTGAGGCTGAGGCAAGAGGATCACAGATCTGAAGCTAGCCTGAGCTACATATGATCCCCCTCCCCACCACAAAAAGAGAGAAAAGAAAACACGGGCCATAGGACACTATCATGTAATCTGTGACTAACTCCAAGAAATATTTATCTAATTACTAAAAAGTACATAACAAGATAAACTTACCACATCAAGTTTTGCCCAGGCATCATAATCATAAGATTTTATCCTGTTTTTTGTGTTTTCCTCTTTGGTTTTTTTTGAAGAATCTTTAGCTTTACTTTTCTTCTTTTTCCTAAAATTCCCATTTCGAATAGGAGGTAAATTCTAGACAGAAGAATAGAAGGAAAAAAAGAAAGAAAGGAAAAGCTTTGAGCACTCTGGCACCTTGCCCTGATACTTCTGCTTGAAATGATCACGAATGATATTTTCTTTTTTTTTTTTTTTCCCTTTTGGTTTTTCAAGACAGGGTTTCTCTGTGTAGCTTGGGCTTTTCTGGAACTCACTCCGTAGACCAGGCTGGTCTCCAAACTCAAAGATCAGTGTGCCTCTGCCTCCCCAGGGCTGGGATTAAAGATGTGCACCACCAATACCCGGCACTAAATGGTATTTTCAAATGAGAAATTTTTTTTCCATTTAATTTACAAGTGCTCCTTTTTATAATATTGATTATAGGATCTGGAAAATGGTTCAGTGGGTGGGAATACTTGCTATACAAGCAAAAGGACCTGAGTTTGAATCCCCAGCACCCAGGTAAAAGCCAGGCGTGGTTTTTACATGACTACACACCCTGTAATCACGGCAAGACAGAGACAAGGAGATCCCAGAGCTCTCAGGCCAGTCAGCCTAGCCGCTACACCATGGCTATGTCAGCTTCACTAAAGCATCCTGTCTGCAAACACAGGGCGCCCAGCAGTAAAGGAAGGCACCTCCATATGGAACACATGCACACAGTCAGCACATGCCACACACAAACACACATACGGAAACACAAGACACAGACACACACACAAAGCATCAATCATGCTTACAACTTCAATTCATTATTCGATGAATGTTGCAGGTTGTTCAGTCACAAGAGAAGTATAAATTTAAAATCTGAAATACGCCTTTAAATGACAACTCTAAATTCAAACACTGAGGACTACGTGACTCTCAAGGCAGCCTGGCATGCCTCTAATGGCTGCATGAGACATGAAAACCTAGCCAGATTTAAAAACACTGGCTTAATAAAAATAGTTCAGCCTAAGTCTTACCTGCATTTCAGTGGCAATACTGTGTTTACAAATTGTTAAATGCATGACTCCATTATTTTCAGAAATACAGACACACCTACGTATTTTAGATTATTTAAAGTACTATCACATGAGGACCCTGTCAATAAATACCCACTGAGACGTAGAATAAAGATCTTAGCACACGATTATTCAAAGCTCGGTGAGAAGCAGGATCTCTGAAGATGCTAACAGTGATGATGCTGGCACTCCAATTCAGGGTTTATATTTTCGTTAACAGGCCCTTCCGCAGCCAGGCTAGACTGAAACTCTCTCTGAGACAGGGTTTCTCCTTGTAGCCGTGGCTGTCAGAACTTGCTCTGTAGACCAGGCCCCCACGTGCCGGGTTTAAAGGTGTGCACCACTGCTATTACCACCAAGCCTGAACTCTTGACCTTCGGCTCCCCCTCCCAAGTACTAGGACTGCAGGCAATTGCAGGCTTTTTCCATCACACTCTACAAGGTCATGCTTTATTTGAAAATAAGTTTCTGGACCAATAACAGGACTCGGCAGGTGAAAGTGCTTGTTACGAGCCTAGTGACTCAAGTTCAATTCCTGGAGCCCACAAGAGAGAGCTGAACTCCAGGAGTTGCCCTTTGCCTTCTACTCGTGCGTGGAGGCATGCATCTACATGTGTATGTACACATACACTGTATGCACACTAACAGTGAATTTTAAACAACAAATAGGTTTTTCTGCATGTGAACAGAAACCCTTCACTTACCTCTTCAGGAACTCCACTTTGTCTTCTTAGTTCCATATCCTTCTGTTTAATGTCATTCTCCCAGTGCTCTAAATCCCTCACGAAATCTTGCAATTCCTCTGCGTTATGCTTCACTTGTAGCTGCAATTCAATTGCTTTACTTGCTGACGTCATTATGACCTGCAAAGTTTTGAGTACACAACCTCCGGTAAGAATCAAAGTGGCAGGTGCTTCTGTTAAAGATGGGGACGCAGCCCTGTAAACCCACCACAACATAAATGTACTGTTAAACGGAAAATTGCATTTAAGCCTGGTATGGTGGTGCATGCCCGTGAGGCCAACACTCAGAATACTGAGGCTGTAGTATCAAAAGGTTCCGGCTCAGCCTCAGCTGCACAGCAAGGCCCCACAAAGAATTTAACCGGCCTCAGATGTGGGGCAGTGTCAGCTGCTCAGTGTTACGATGGTGTAGCATAAACATAAATCACAGGGTTAAATAGTCAAATAAATGTCCAGAGCTCAGCTGGGCTTCAGAAAGGGGGCTAGTTAAGTAAGGCACAGGAAGGAAGGCAAGCAGAGAGAACTCTGAGGGATGATGAAGAGGTCAGAAGCAGACACGGCACACACCTTAAAATGCCAGATCATGGGGTGTTACAAACTTTCTAAAAGCCACATGAGGGTATTGACTGGGAAAACAAAAGTAACCTGATTTAAATGGTTTCTAGATTTCTGCTTGGCAGAATCTAGTAGTGTCCATTTGAGTCAAGAAATCCAATTCTTTCGGACTCGGCGAGGTATGTTGGTGGCTGAAGCCACTCACGCCTGACAGCTCCAGTCCAATCCCCGGTACCCACATAAAAGTGCACGGGGAAACCAGCTACACAAAGCTGTCCTCTGACACATGTGCCACGGCACACGCATACGCCATCACCCATCACATACACAGCCGGTAAAAATGAATAAAATTTTGAAAAAGAAACGCAATTTTAGAAGGAAAGGGCTCATGTTGCAGGGAAGTAAGCGAATAGGAGGATTATTTCAGCTTAGAGTATATTGACTGTGTGCTAGAGGCCACCAAAAGATATGCAGTAGGTTAAGGCCTGCAGATAAATGTGAGTGACACTATAATAAATAAAGGTAGAAACCAATCATGCGTTTGAACATGCTTAGCCACTGTAACTAATGGAAGCTAGGAAGAGCTTGAAGAACTCAGAGAACAGGAAGAGAAGTCAGAAAAACTAGGCCTCAGCACCTAGGGACCTGGGAGGCTACGAGAGAGAGCACTACCACTGAAGGCCTGAGAAAATCAGCATGTTAGATGGCAAAGGTTGGCAGTGCCAGATGCCATGTGCATTACATTAGGGCATATAGAGATTGCGGATATTCACGGGATTTTTTAAGGGTACCAATGAGTTAAATTAATTATATTTTACGGGAGCAGGGAAGCTTTGTCTTTAATCATATTAAGACTCAACCCACTGAAGGCACATGAAGAATACAGCCGGGCACAGGGGGCCATTGCTTATGATTCCAGCAGGAGGAGGCAGAAGGTGCCTCCCAAACTAAGGTCAGCATGACAACTTGGTAGACCCTGTCTACGAATCCTTTTTAAAGGGTTGGTATATAGCGTTTGCCCATAATGTGAAAGATGTTGAGTTCAACCCTGAAGACTGCAAAATAAGTAAGTAAACAAACAAGTAAAGGGGATAAAGTGATGTGACGAGGTACCTAGGTGAAGAAAAATATGGTGGATGGGGTGATATAACAGCTCCCCCCCCCCCACACACACACACACTAAAAAGAGACTGTTTTAAGTGCAAATGAATCTTCTGACTCGGCCTCAACAACACAGTTTAAGCTTCATGCGGCGTCAATATTTGTTTATACGCACGCACTGCATTCATGAACAAAACTAGCACAAATGCTTTGCTGGGGACAAACCAGTCCAGAAGCCAACGAGACCCTTACGTGCCTAGACTGGCAATGATGCGCAAGCGTTTAACCCCAGCACTCTGGCGAACTGCAGGGAAACCCTGCCTCCTAAAGCAAGCAAAACAAACAGAAAGACCGTGAATGCTGCGGGGGCGAAAGCTGCCCTTCCACCACCCACCCAGCCCCGGGTCCTACGCAGCCCACGCTGACAAGACGGGGTTCGTTCCGCGGTCAACCAGAAACTCCCAGCGTCTGGGCCAACACTTTCACGCCCGGTATCCACGCAAACCCCGCACACCGCGGCCTGAAGGTCCCCGCCACCGAGGAGCGCCCGAGCCCGGACGGAGAGGCAGCTCAGGCCGACCCCGGGGGGCGCGCGAAGAGCCCACTGAGGACCCGGCCCCGCCGCCCGGCCGCCCCGCCGCCGCCGGCTCCCGGTCAGGCCCGCCCGGCCCCGCGTCCCGCCCGGCCCCCCAGGCGCCCTGCAGCCGACGGTAACGGAGAAGCCTGCTCACCCGCCCCGGCCGTCACCACCCTCACCGCAGCCAGGGAGACGCGCGGCGTCACTTGCCACCGCCGCCGCCGCCGGAGGCCTGCGCCTTCCCACAAGGCCCCGCGCGCCGCCCGAGCGTGCGCAGAAGGTCCGACTCCCGCGCAGGGCTGCTGTGGTTAGGCTGCTGCCTTAACCTGCTCCCAGGATGAGGAAACTAAGCGTGAGGACCCCCAAAGTGCACCTGTCCTGACGTGTTCCGACCCCAAAGCAAAAAGGCCTTTGGCGTCCCTCGATCGTGTCTCCTACGCTGGTAACACCGCTGCTTTCCCTCTAAGTCCTGTACTTCTTGCTCGTAACCTTTCTTCTTTTGTAAGAGTGTCTGTGGATCTCAGGCTGGTGTCCGTCTTTAGATAGACCCTGGCTTAGCTAGAATAAAGACTTTGAAACCTGTTTACATTTGCTTGCTCTGATTCCTTGACGACTCTAAAATTGTACAAAAAAACAAGCATAACTTTTAAAGTCCACAAACATAACCCAATTTTTTCAAATTGAATCGACTTTTTCGTCTCAGTTAGGTACTGACAGTACTGACAAATTTGACTCAACTTTTGAATGGCCCAAGGAGGCAGGGGTGTGTGTGTCTCTCACACATGCTGATTTATGAATCTAATCCTAGATGTTTGACATCATTAGTCTGTGATCCAACCTCAGCACCAGACGTTTTCAAACACATCATGCAGCTATGCCATTCAAGCTGAGAACCACTAACCTAGTTCCCAGTCAATGAAAAACAACAAGGCCATATCATTAGAACCTTTCCCGGACTGTGTGACTGTTGTGTTTTAAATTAATTTGAAAGTAACGATCAGAGGCTGGAGAGATGCCTCCAAGATTAAGAATGCTTTTCCCACTTGCAGAGGCCGTGTGTTCTCAGCACTCACATAGCAGCTCACTACTGTCTGTAACTAATTCTAGAGGATCTGATGCCCTCTTCTGGTCTCTGTAGGCACCAGGCATGCGTGTGGTGTACATACATGCAGGCAAACACTCTTACACATACAAGTAAATGTTTGTGAAAATAAAAGAGCATAAAAGATTTTGTTGATGGTTTTGTGTTATACAGGCTTTTAGCAAAGTGTAACCAAGACTGGCCTTGAACTCATAATTCTCCTGCCTCTTTAGCAAATCCTACTGTGTGCATGGCACCACAAAGAGCAGGAGCCATTTCAGGGAAAACTAGCTTTAAAAAAAAAAAATCTTAATGTGTCTAGATGACAGGGCACATCTTTAATCTTAACATTGATCAGGCAGAAGCTGGAGTATCACTGTGAGTTCAAGGTCTGGCTGTTCTTCCGGAGAACCTGCTCTAATTCCCAGAGGTGGCTCACAGTTGTGTGGAACCCTGGTACCCAGAGAACTAACGTCTTGGGACACCAGGCACGCACAAGCAACACACTCATGCACATGAAATAAAATTTTAAATATTATAAAATTAAAATCTTAATGTATGTTTAAATAAGTCATAAATGTATTGAAAATAGATGTTGACATTCTTAGGAAAACAACTACATGTGTTTTATTAATTTTGGGCAGAGTTGATTGAGACAACAGGGCCAACCAGCTGCTCCAGTAAAACTTCATAGCACCCTGGGGTGGTGAATCCCCCCCCCCCCATGTGTGCACTGAATACAATCAAAGGGAGAAACATTCATTGTGACTGAATGACCTCCATGGTCACTGCTTCCTAATTTTGAGGTACTGTTGCCTACTCGTGACAGCCTTCTCCCCTGCGGAATGCCTCTCCACTGCTATTGACAATTGCCTTTAAATAGGCTTCTGTAAAAATGGCGAACCAAGGTTTTCTTTATTTTTTTTCTGTGAATAAATTCTTCCTCTTATTTGAATTTAATGTTAATCTCTGAACAGTTATTCTCAAAGAAGCAGTCCTGGCAATAACCAAATATTTATTGCCACATAAGTGAAATGCCGTAATGATTATTGCAAATGCTATTAATTCCATGTCCCAATGATTGAGCTCTTTCAAACAGTTAAGGGTGGAAGGATTCTGACAACTATTAAGAAAGGGTGTAGTAATTAATTTCTTTGTTTACTGGTTGGGTTTGTGTTTTTGAATATTGTTGTTTGTTTGTTTTTCAGACAGGGTCTCACTGTGTAGTCCAGGCTTGCTTAATCTGGAGCCACATCTGTAACTAGACAAGTCTTAAACTAATGATCTTCCCACCTCATTGATGCACACACGTGGCATTCACACGTTCATCAGTCACACAGATGAAGCCTCCTGAATACTCTGGGTTATAGGGATGAGCCGCCACAGCCAGCTCCTAAGTGCCTTTGTGTGAGCCTTGGGATTCTGCACCATATGTGGAAGAAAACCTGAAATCAAAGTAACGTAAGCAAGACAGGAGATACTTCTCTCTCATTCTTTAAAAAGACTTATTTACTTATCTTTCAGTGTGCCTGCAGGAGGGTCTGCATGGATATATGTGTGCCACGTGAGTTCCTGGTGCCCTCGGAGGGCAGAAGAGGATATCAGATCCCCTTGGAGCTGGAGTTACGGCGGGGGCTTGTGGGTCACCTGGTGTCGCTGCTGGGAACCGAGCCCAGGTTCTCTGCCAGAGCAGCAACTGTTCCTAACTGCCCAACCAGCTCTCCAGTCCTGCACTCTCTCATATAAGACCAAACATCAACAATCCAGGACTGGTGTGACAACCAGTGTCAGACACAGGGTCCTCCTAACTCTGCTCTCTCATAAGCACACAGCTTTCCCTCACAGTGCACTCTCAAGCTCCAGCCATCTTGTCCAAAATCAGGCCAGCAGGAAGAGACAAAAAATAAGAATAATAAAACCTCCTGCTTTTTGTTTTGTTTGTCTGTTTTTGTTTTGTTTTGTTTTTCGAGTTTTGTTTTTCGAGACAGGGTTTCTCTGTGTAGCTATGACTGTTCTGGACTTGATTTGTAGACCAGGCTGGTGTGGAGTCTGCTTTTTAAGAATGCTTCCATGGGGGATGGAGAGATAGCCTAGCAGTTAAGAGTGCTTTCTTCTCTTTGAGAGAACCAGAATTCTGTTCCCAGCACCCACACCCACACCCACAGTGAGCAGCTCACAACCATCTGTAATTCCGACTCACTTGCGCTCAAGTGGCACTCACACCGATACAACACACGTACACAAATAAAAATACCAACTTTTTTTCTTAGAAATTCCTTCCAAATGAGACATTGTATATAAAGGGAGTGTTTAGCATAGGCTGAGACAGGCTAAAACGTAACAAATGTTATTTCACCTTTGCACTTACTTCACCCCTGCCTCCTGCAAAGCTTAGGTCTAGACCCTGGGATACAGTAGCTTCTTTGTCTCTGGTGTCTTCCAGTTATCTACCAAGGAGGCCTTTAAGGAGAATAGGAGGGACAAGTGGGAGGAGGCTAAAGTTAATTAAAGGTGAATTGCCTCTCCTAGTGCAAAGTAAAGTCTGCATAAGTCAGACAAATAGGAACAATAAGGCTGGAGAGATGGCTCAGCAGTTAGGAGCACTTGCTGCTAACAGATGACATGTGTTTGGTTCTCAGGACCCGATGGATGTGGAGCTCACAACCACCTGTAGCTCCTGTTCCATGGGTTCAAACACCATCCTCTGGCCTCCTTAGGCACCTAGTGGGCATACACGCAGGAAAAATATGTACGTATAAAATTAAAAAGTCAGAAGTGTGGTGGCATACACCTTTAATCCCAGTGCTAGGGAGACAGAGGCAGGTAGATCTCTGTGAGTTCAAGGCCAGCCTAGTCTACAGTCAGTTCCAGGATAGCCACGGCTACAGAAACCCTGTCTAAAAAGAAGAAAAGAAAGAAAAATCTGAGAAGAATGACATGTTATTTTCACTTTGCTAATTTCACACTGGTGACCATTATCTTCCTTGTGTTCCTGTTAAAGACACTGATCTGAATAAGAAGTTTGTCCGTGTGGCTAGATCATGTGCATGTGACCATGTTGCCCTGACTAGACTCGCAGCAATCTGACTGAAGTATCTGTACCTCAACCACCATATCCTGCCTAACCTTCTCTCGCCCAGTGGACCAGGAACACTCCTGAGGAGGGCAGGACAGGGCCCTGCTTCATCCATCGAGGCGCTGTGTCTCACAGGGGTTAGTCCTGCCTGACGTCCTCCTCAAATTTCAGCCTAAATAATCTGAGCAGCCTCTCAAGCACCATTTGGTCAACCTCTGCAGCCACAGAAGCTGTTTCCAAGCAACCTTCTGCTCTCTCTCTCTCTCTCTCTCTCTCTCTCTCTCTCTGTGTGTGTGTGTGTGTGTGTGTGTGTGTGTGTGTGTGTGTGTGTGT